ATGAACTTTTAACCCTCAAAATCTTTGATTAGCAACACATTTCTTGATCAGAAAGTTTAGAAATAAGTCTCTTCCACAAAATTAACTTCTATGACTATCCTTAAAATACATGGCAGGTAACAATAATTCTTGAGTTAATTCTTATATGATATTAATGTATCTGAAATCGGGAGTGTCTCAATTATATGTACACATTTTTCCCTCATGTTCTTTTTGAACACTTGAAACCAAAGTTGATTGGAGATAATTGAGAATCCGACAAACACTGGAGTTGTATGGAATTTGGTAACCAACGGTCCTTATTCGTTGATTCCAAATCCATTTTACAACACTAGTAATCTTCTAAATCCCAACCAAGCCAACCTTTCAAGCAATTTCATAGACATGTCTGGTTTCAGTGGTAATCTTTCAAATCCCAATCAAATCAACCCTCCAAGCAATTTCACGGACTTGTCTGATTTAAATGGAATTGGGCAACCGTCCAATTTGTAGAAAACGAAAAAAATAAAGAAATTGTACTTGACACAAAACGAAAAAGAAAAACGAAACTGTACTTACACATTGTATGTGTTAAGTACACGTATGAAACATCCAAATGTCTAGTCAACTTTCTAGTAATATGAAAATTATCCTCAAATTCAATCCTTCAACTAAATCGCGTTCTACAACAATAAATGTCAAAAATGGTCTTCATTAAAACGTCATCAAGGGGCATATAACATCACATCAAGCACTTAAACGTCTAACATAAATACTTGAAGGATTGAATTTGTTGATAATTTTCATAGTACTAGAAAGTTGGCTAGACATTTGGATGTTTCATCGTGTACTTACACATACAATGTGTGTTGAGTACAATTTCGTTTTTTTTTTTTCGTTTTGTGTCAAGTACAATTTCTTTATTTTTTTCGTTTTGTACAAATGGACGGTTGCCCAATTCCATTTAAATCAGACAAGTCCATGAAATTGCTTGGAGGGTTGATTTGATTGGGATTTGAAATATTATCATTGAAACCAGACATGTCTATGAAATTGCTTGAAGAGTTGGCTTGGTTGGGATTTGGAAGAATACTAGTGTTATAAAATGGATTTGGAATCAACGGATAAGGACCGTTGGTTACCAAATTCCATACAACTCCAATGTTTGTCGGATTATCTCCGATCAACTTTGATTTCCAGTGTTCAAAAAGAATAGGTGGGGAAAAGAATAGGAATATGACGAAAACATGAAAAAAGAATGTAATGTTTCATTGACACACATACACAACGAAAAAAGTAGATAAACAAAAATGGTGTGCTTTAACATAGAAACTACAATGTAATGTTTCATTGTGCCTAGGATTGGATTTGGGAGGTTAGGAGTGTTGTAAAATGGATTGAGAATTAACATTAATTTTCTAAATGTTACCAAATGGACTGATAATTTTCCAAATCCCAATCAAGCTAACCCCACAAGCAATTTTCATGGACATGTCTGGTTTTAATAGTAATCTTTCAAATCCCAACCCTCTTAGCAATTGTTTGGAGGGTTGACTTGATTGGGATATCCTTGAAATTGCTTGAAAGGATCGGCTTGGTTGGGATTTTGAAGATTACTAGTATTTTTATAAAATGAATTTGGAATCAACGGATAAGGACTGTTGGTTACTAAATTCCATACAATTCCCGTGTTTGTCGGATTCTCCATTATCTTCAACCAACTTTGGTTTCAAGTGTTCAAAGAGAACAGGTGGTGAAAAGAACAGGAATATGGTGAAAACATGAAGAGAAAAAGAACGTAATGTTTCATTGACACACATAGACAGCGAAAAAAAAAAAAGACAAACAAAAATGGTGTGCTTTGATATCCAAACTAAAATTGGCACAAACTCTCGATTTTGTACACACTGATAAAGAAGGAAAGGCGAAAAAGAAGCGTTTACGTGCACATTGAAAAAGAAAAACAAAAAAGAATGTGTACGTGTAATTGGCACAAACTTTCGATTTCAGATACATTAATATTCTCTTCAAGAGACTTATTTCTAAACTTTCTGATCAAGAAATTTGTTACTAATCGGAGATTTTGATAATTAAAAGTTCATGGGAGAGTTCCTTACATTTTCAGCTCATCAATCATGGGAGGGTTTTCAGGCAGAGGGCTTCTCAAAAAGTTACGCACATTTTCAACCTCCCCAACCCCCACATTTCCAACAATCCACATTTTCAACATCTACCGCAAGAGGGATGAGAGACCAAAAGAAATTTCAAATTCAGCATAAGAGAACAAAAAAAAAATGAAGCTTCAATAAAATTCAATTGAACCCTTCTCAATAGGGTTCCCAATAAAGTGTAATCTATATCAAACCTTATCCATTCAAGAAACTAAACAATTATACCACTAAATTCTAGCTGATAAAGATGCCACTGTTTTTGAGCTGCAACTAGTAGTCGAGTTTTTACTGTGACCAATTTAGCAACGTGGGAAAATGTTTCTTCATAGTCTTGGCCAGCTTGTTGGATGAAACCTT